TGACAACATTACATACGAATGCACTCAGTGAATACATTATAATTAATGATCCATTTAATTTTTAAAACTACACGATAAATAGTGATGTATATTCAATCTGAAATACATAAATCATTTATCAATTTAGGACATTTTTTAACTGTTTTTGGTAATTAATTTTTTACCCCTATTTTCCAGTTAGTAGCTAGAGACTCAACTAAATTTCTTAAAGCCAGTTTGTTCACATTTTATGCTTCTATATCTAACATTAAATGAAAATCCCTGCATGAATAACTATTGCCATGTACTTTTGTTATTTAAGTATTCCTTTAGTGAGTAATAGGCTTTGCTCAATATATGTCATTTAACAGATGTTTTACATTTAATATAAAGTAATAATATTAACATTGTTTATAAAATTAAAACTATCGCCTTCCGGCGTCGTAAAATTATATTTTTATTATAGCTAAGTTTAAGATATATTGCTCTATAAAGATAGGATTCAACGCCTATAATTTACGAGGAATAGCACATAATAGGCATCCAGTGACGGTTCCGATCTTAATAAACCCGACAGTTCTCGCTTTATATTTAGAGATTGAATACGATGTATCGATAAATGGTTTATTACACATAAATTGATCATAAATAATCTTAAAAAAACATATATGACAATGTATATAGAAGAACGGGATGTACCTGATAAAGGCATAGGTATGTTTAGGTCATCACAACACTGTGTGATTGTAATTTAATTGTTATATAAAGAAATAAATTTTACTTTCATTTTCAAAACATTGTTTACAACTATATATATTTGTCAGAGTGTTAATATTTTTAATTTATGTCAATAGTTTTGTACATAGATTTTGATACAGTGTCGTGAGTTCAGCAGAGCTTGTGTTATGGATGCTAGACAACTGATATAAATACATAGATACATATTTGATCACATCACCGAGGCCGTCGAGATATAAAACTAATATGCTTATAATACATCAATATAATTTAATTACAAGTACTAATTATATCATTTTTGTATGAAGAAGTAACATTTACAATACATTACATAATATGAACAAATAAATCTATGTTATAACTTCATACCTACAAATAAACAAGCCTCTGAAATATATAACATCGACAATCGATAATATAAAACCGCATATTTCCCATCTCTGTAGTCCAGCTCTCTCGCTGCGGTGAGCGATGACAACACTCAATCATCGAGGCACATCCCTATCCCCGTACATCCACAAGACGAGAATTGAGTCCGGACAGTGTTTATCGTGAACCGATGACTGTCTGAACTCGAATGGGGTTATTAGAGAGGATATTTTATCGATATCAAGACCGTCATTTGGGATATTACTTTTATACTTGCCTAAAAGCCTTGAAACAGTTTCTCGGCTGTCAATGCGGAATTAATTATAAATGTAAGTAACTTTTCAATGGACTGGCATAACAGAATAACAGCTAGGTTCCTAATTATTAGATGTTATTTTGTTGTTTAAGTTATATTTTGACTAAAATCAATAGCAAAATCAAATCATTGTTTGTCATTTAAGTTAATAGTTGAGTGAGTAATAGGCTTTGTTCAATAAATATGATTTAACAGACGTTTTAAATTTATTTAATGGTAATTCCAGTATATGTACTTTGGTATCTTATTATAAATTTTTATACCCATTCCCTTAAAATAGTGATTGACTTTTTCTAATCGGTGGTTTGTATTCACACACTTAAACTTAAATTGTAAGTAAGAATATTATAAAAGAGCATGTTCCGAATTCAAAAGTGCTTCAATGTAAGTTTATTTGAATAAATGATTTTCTATTCTATTCTATTCTATTCTATTCTAAACAATACTTAAGTATATACAGTAAGGAAGGTTACTTTATTAAACTAATTGTCAGTTACTTTATACAAATACTACAAAGAGGAAAGATTTGTTTTTTGTCTATTTGCATTGAATAGGCTCTGGACCTAATAAAGTATAATACCGATTCGAATAAAAATTTAACCATTAGAATCTTACATTATACCTGATGAGCATAGGTGATAGAATAGTTTCAAAAACGTTAGGGATCCGTATGAAAAGTTCGATAACCTGTACAAAAAAAATCCAAAAAAATATATCTTTATATCGTGTGCGATATGGAAATTATTGAGTATAGAGTAAAGTGATGTATTACAATTTTACACAATAGAGCAAAGTATGTACTACAATTTTATAGAGGACATTAATATCAAAGAGTGCATGTGTTTGTGACGATGGCGAAATGAAGATGAAGTCACTCTGAATTCATCTCGCATTGACAACTATGGTCAACTTGACATGGCACATAATGAGCTATGTGTCTCCATTACCAGTCTCCACTCCGGATAATTCCCTACTCCACGCCAATACTTCTTAAATCATAATTTCACTAGATATCCATCTTAAATCGAACAAAAAATGTATAGTCCTATTTAATTATATATTTTTTAATTTTCTAAGGAAAGATAAAGATTAAACTGTAAAGAACAATGCTTGAAGAAAGAGAGGAATAATATAAAGCAGGTTCTATTCAAGTGCACACATTTCTTAATTGCATTAATCACGAGATTAAAGCAAGTATCCAATTAGTACTAGGGATGGACAGAAGTACTTAAATAATTAAAAGCAGTCAAGTGGAAATGTAGAGACGCACGCACCCTGTACGTAATTACTTTTTTTTACAAATACAAAATAGTAACTACTTACGGATCTTTGTTTTACTACCGAGTGGTAAAATAAATATATACATAATGACATTAAGCGGTATAGCATACTGCTTTTCTTCATTTTGTTGCCGATTCGATACCTCAAACCATGCAAACATTTGTTTATTTATGGATATGATTGTACAGGTCCGGGTGTTTTCTATCTGTATTAAAAAAGAAATTCTCTTCGTGGTCTAGTATACATAACACAAGCTCTGATTGCGACTAGATGGTGCTGTGTCAATTAAATTCTGAAAGTGAATTCCATATCCGACATTAGTTTTAGATGTTTGGTACTCTATCTATTTATATATACGGCTATACGCGTTTGAATGAAATTGAAGGTTATAAACAATAAAGTCATTTTAGATATAATGATTTTATATATATAATTATCATCATCTGATGGTACTTCATGGGACTTATTACTTTATACAATTTGATTTTTACTTTGAATTCATACTATTTTGTTTCATTCTGATACCATTAACACATGTGAGACCACAAATATTCAGTACTGACCACCTGACCACCCCTATAGGATCCATTACAACCTTCTCTATTAGTGATCAAATTCCGACCGATATTGAATCTACACTCATATTGCGACACGTGTTTCGACTCTAAACAATGTATCATCAGGCAATAAATAGAACTCGGATATAGCTTGGAAGCCGTACTGTTAACTGTTCGGCGATCAGACTACGACTACAGCGGTTTCATCTCCTACGTGCTAACGGAAATAAAAACAAAATAATATAAATTGATTTTGAGTAATGAAATGGACTTCCGTAAAATAACACCTAATTCAGTAAAATATACCGACGTTGCTGATGTATATATATTTTGCTCTTTTTGTTTCGTTTTTATTTTTATACCTTCATTGTCTTCTTTATTTTTTAAAAATCTTGCATTTAAATATTTTAGCATATTTAAATGTAATATTTTTTAAATTTTATTACACTAACTAACTAATATAAGTAACGTTATAGCATGTACCTATATGTTGGAATTATATATAGGTGGAGGTCGTTGATGTTCGCAACACACATTTACACTTCCTCTCTCATCGTTTCTTCAGTATTTTTTTATGTTTCTGTTTCAAATAAATAAATATTAAAAAAATATTTCGCTTGTGATACCGCTCATGTTGCCATTCCCGCAGACTGAGATATCACGCGCTTATGTGAAATTTGTGTATTTTTATTCAATTAATTTTTTTATCTTCGGAACTATATTAGCAACACTAGACAACAGAAATTTATGTGAGTTGGTACTGTGGCCGCCTCTCCTCACACAAGCAAATATTGTAAGCATTAAAGTAGTGCGCAAACCTTGTCCAATTATCTCTAAAACTTTAATAAACTTATTTGGAACTTTGCGTTAACTCTGCATTCATCCTTTGACTCACCCACAGCAATAAACATTCCACTCTCTCCACATAGAGCAATTTTCATAATTTAAAGGTATCCTAATAAATACTTATTTTATATTACATATTTCGTTACATGCACCACCTATTTTTTCTCTTATAGTTTAATATTCTACCAAAAGGTTGTCTCGAAGAGATTAATTGATGATATTATCACGTTTTATATGTTTTTTTTTTTAATTAATACTTTTCTTTACCTGGTAAAATGTATTTATAAATAAAAACTTTCATAGTCGAGGGGATTAGTTTACTTCCTTAAAATAAAAATTGCATTCGACACTGTATATTCCTCTAAATTTATAAGAACAGAGTTTTAATAACTACAATTTAATAATTACATTGTAAATTCTGAGGAATTTCGTTCCATGACTACTCAGATTTTGGGATCTAAATGAGTAGGTTTTCTGTATTAGAGGTGGAATTTTCAAAAAGTGCATATTAAGTTTCAGGGTTTCAGAGGTTATGGCAAACGTTTACTATCAAATGAGTTATGTGATTATTATTATTTTTATGTAATTGGAATAGCAAATATGTAAGCTGACGGTACATGTAATAGTAAGTGGCAACCGTCGCCTATATACATGAATAGTACACTACGGACATCATGACATTATAATGCTCGTGATAGAACCCGTGCGTTGCTATACTTAAGACTGAGCTATCATGTCTCATATCCTGTTATTTAATTGCTTAATCTGACCCTACAACTGAAAATTATTGAAGCTAACAAACAGTTAGGCGTCTGGAATAGGTGAGAATGAAGGACTCACGGAGATAACTTTTTACAGTACCTTTGGTAATTTCTGTCATTGTGGTATAAACAATTTTCAATGTCCTTTCACAGATACAAGGCAAGCCTATCATCCAACAACGGATCTTGCCAAGTCCTGCGGTGTCCATCGACGTGCCCCACAGTTTAGACCGCAGCACGCCGCCACCGGCAGACGAGAATAGCAACATCATATTCAGTCCGTGGAAGGCGTTTGGACCCTTTGTTGATACGATACAGGTAATATTTTTTCTAATTTTTTCATTTATCCTTAATAAAATCAAATCATCTTTATTCATGTAGATCTACAGACTCTTATGATATGACAAAAACTACCCTCAGTTCGAACTAAGAAGTACTGACAAGAAACCCATCTCTCATTATTCTCAAATATGCTTGTACATGTTTTAAAAAATACAGATTCATTTTTACAGTCAAAATTAAGGAGAAAAGAGCGAAAATATGATATTACAATTTTGTCAAAAGCAAATATTCTAATCAGTAGCCGTAACCAGATTAGACAGGCCGCATAAGCAGCACCATTTTACGAGTATGACGGATCATTGTTTTTATATACGAGCTGCTAGACCCGGCTTCACAGGAAGGGGGAAGATTTGGTTTGATTTTCTTTGAACGAGAGCTGGTAGCTAGTCATAACATACATACAGTAGTAGAAGATTTACAAAACCTAAAGCCAGGAATAATACTTATGAAACTAAAACACTTTCAATATGAAATTAAAATTGCGTCTTTGCAGTACAAATTCATCATGTAACCGCGCAGTTTCTTCGTACATTTTGAAACTTGTTTTCTGTTACACTTTGCTCTTTGATAAAGATGTTCAACTTATATCTAATTCTATACTCATACTTAAGATAAGAGAAAAAATATGTATACTAATACAATAAATATTATAAATATGCCTATCAGTAATCCTTTAACGATTAAACGACTGAATGGATTTTAATTATTTTTTACTTCAAATTAAACCTTCAACAAGTAGATCTAAAAAAATAGGTCTCAAAAGTTGTTAATCAAAGATTCAATAATTAAAAATAAATTTGCGTAATTATAAAGTATTCCTATAAATATTACTTCTGATTCTTGGCTATCAACGGATCCCTACCAATCAAGATTTCCTTAGAACAATGTTATTCTCTAATTGGTGCACGACGTTGATTAATGTTCCTCAGCTTACTGGAGAAGTTTCGTTCCCGAATCATTTCAGTGTCGTGAACATATTCATTATTTATTGGTTAGGTTTGTGGTTATGGCGCATTTTATAGCGTAGCGAAAGTTGTTATTGTCGTCCGCCATTCTACGCCATTCTTTTTATTGTTACACAACATGTTGCTGGATTTCTTTTGTTCGTACAATGCCTTGCTGATGCTGATACCATAGTTATGGTTTTTGAATCTTTATATAAATATACAAAAGTACAAATCATAGTTTTTGCCAAGTCTATTTCGCAATGCAATATATTTTGTCACTGATTTTTAAGATTTCTATAACTATATATAAAACATTATAAATAAATAACCCTCGAATGTTCACACAGCGCCATTAAATTCCAAACTAAGTAGAGCTTGCATCATGGATCGACACTAAACAACTGACAGAAATGCTATAAAACATTATTTAATATATGCTCACATCAATATATACTCGTGAACACAAATTATTATTGTATTATGTGAGGAGTAAACCCGCGGCCATCGAGGCTGTTAGAATAATGAGTAAAGAACATCTATAACCTACATATATAAAAAACATTGTTTATCTACAGGACGGTGAACTGTTACCAAGTCAGGACACCGTGTTACTGCCAACACCTAGAAATCTTGAGAGTTCCCTAGACGAAGACGCCACAGATCCTATTCCTACTGCGGAAACGTCTAATAAGGTAAATTATTTTTTATAAAGTACCGAAACAGCAACTAAAGCAATATGCCATCTGAAGGAATTGGTAACTCTGGCCTATAGATAGTAGATCTTAGGTATGGTGATAGAAAATTAACATGCATGAGCGGCCGAGAGTATCCTGTAAGATTAAATTATTATAGAATTTATTTAAACGAAGGGCATAACAGGGCCATCATAAAAAATATTGGGACTCCCGCAGTTACTAACACAAGTTGCTATTGATGAGGATTAAGCACTAATTCATATTAAAATAAATGTATTTCTTACAGGTGGCCTCAATAAGCCAGCTGTCATTCATGGTCAGGCCAGACAGTTTTGAGAGAGGTCAGCTGCGCCTGACCTGTATCTCCAGTGTGCACAGTGTATACAGCGAGCAAGCTGAGCTCGTCATCAACGAGGAGAGACCTCAGATAGCGTCGGTGCTTGGCACCAGAGACCGAGCTGGAGGTAAGATTATAAATGGGAATATTACTTAGAGTAGCACTTTGTTTAGAAGAACAGACGACTCACTCAGTATATAATCCACCTATTTTATTCCTACCACGCTATCACACACAAACACGACACCGTCCTCAGGGACCAAGACGATGACCACCATCATAGCATACAGCGCAATCAACCGTCCAATTCAAATGGGTATAGAAATTACGATGTCTTAAGCCTAGCTCTGAAACTGTAGCGGTACCCTCAGACTAAAGTTGTAATCGTCAGGCGTTGCTATCAGCCACTCTATAACACGTTCCGCGGGTTTAGAGAGCCATCTGCACTCGCCCCCGATCATCTGGTGAAATTGTAAAGGCTAGCTGCGGCTAAAAGTATTAGTGTGATCTGAAAAAAAACAATATATGATATAATAAACCACAGTATAGTATAAAACAAAAATATAAATTAAAAAAATTACCTAGTGACATTTAACCTCAAGCTAAGCAGTGGAGGATGATAGAAATTGGATGAAGTCAGATAAGTTAGCATATTTTGGAGAATTTCCACTTTAGTTTCTTAAGGGAACCTTATAGTGATCGAGTAGGCAGGCCATATTGCAAACTAATTGGTCTAATATTTACCATAACTGACCCTTCTAGATGGTTTTTATAACTTCCCATCTGGTCAGAGTTTTTACCGCTCCATGTAATATTAATACAAACACGACATACTGTATAATACTAATACAAAAACGTACTATAAACCCATTCTTTTAGTATATACAAACGATCCTACTCATGAATACAAATGTTTGTGAAGAAAACTCGAACCTGCTGTCGTAGTTAGTAGACGATGTGTACAAACATGTGTAAACATCTAGACCATCGAACCCGTCAAATATTAGTTGGAGTTAGAGAGTTCTAGCTGGTGTCTATGTTCTATTCTAGATTAACATCTAAGAGTTCTAATGTCTACGCTTAAAGGATCAACTCGTGTAACATGACGTATATCTTTAGTGCACTTCATACTTGTCAATAATATACACGTTTAGTTTCAGTCAGTACGTTAGATTAGTAAAGCGGATTTGGAACTGATGTTGCTAAGGGAAGGTTCCTATTTTACGTTAGCTACACGATATCTTCGACAAAGTACAGATTTTGTTACTACTTGTATAAAAAGTTGTTAGAAAATAGTTTCTATCTTCTATATATAAAAATGAATTGCTTTTCATTAGTCTCGCTAGAATTCGAGAACGGCTGAACCGATTTGGCTAGTCTTGAAATATTCGTAGAAGTCCAGGGAAAGTTTAAACGGTCATAAAATATGAAGAAATTGCATGTGAAATAGTGAAAACAACAATTTTATTTTCTCATACAAACTGATGATACCTGCCAAACAGGGTGCATTCAGAAAGTTATTGCGTAACTAAACTTCTACAATTTATGCGACTTGCGTATTTTAAAAATAAGCAAATTTGTATGTAAAAGTTCATGTTTAATCATTAATATATAACGACCTGCAATATGTTTAGAGTTTCCACTCCCATAAACCTTCTAGTAGGCCACCACATATTCCATAAACCATTAATCCGTTTTAACGATCGAGCCCACTTTGTGCATTAACGGCTTACTAGCAAGCCGGTTTGAATATTGTCTACGGCAGTTTTTGAATCAGTGCTGTGTTCTTGTTTTGCTTATAGTAATGGTACTTGGGACGGAAATTGACATCGTCTTAAGTTTCAAATAATATATCTTAATACTAATGTTATAAACGCGAAAGTTTGTGGTCATGGATGGATGTTTGTTTTTCACGCAAAAATTACTGAACGGATTTTGATGAAACTTCACAGTAATATAGCTTATACATCAGAATAACACATAGGATATATTTTTATAGAAGTTTATATATTGAAACCGCGGGCACAGCTAGTAATGTTATAAACGCGAAAGTTTGTGAGTATCGATGGATGTTTATTAATCTTTCACGCAAAAATTTTGATGAAGCTTTACAATAAATACTTATACATCAGAATAACATATAGGCTATAATTTAATAAGATATTATGTAAATCGCGCGAAATATAACGTTAAATGTAGTGTAATACACATGAAATTGCGCGGAGCAGCTAGTATATTAATAATTAGTTTAGTTTTATTAGTATTTTAATTTTCTACTATCGGCGGTCGATAACTGATTAATTTATATGACATTTTCCCGTCAAAGCACCTAGTATTAGTATAGATTATGTAAAAGGCGCATCTATTATTTCTATTGGACTTACTATATTAAAAGCACTTATTAGTATTTAAGTAATATCCAAACCGAACGGCTTGTGATGTTATTGTGTTTCTGTGCTATACCATCTGATAGTTTGAATATATCCATCGGATACGAAATAAATAATATAGAAATAGAAATAATCTCTATTGACATAAAATTAAGTTTTGAATAGTCATATTTTTTACTCTGCTACTCATAGGCAACTGCAAACGCTTGTTGCTACTTATCTATCTAACTGCTAACACAGCAATTTGGCGGCCTCGTTGGTCTGGCTATTTAGCACACCACTTTTATTCATGAGTATGATTGTTTGTATCGGTCTGGGTGTTATTTGTATTATTTATGTATATTATGTATGTATGTTTATAAAAAAAAGGATTTAAGAATATAGTTGCCTAGTATTATTAACAAAACTTCTGCTTAGCTTAGGGCTAAGTGACGCTGTGTGAAATGTACTGTTTTTTATATTATATCTTTTCTATCTGCCATCAGCCTTATGGGTAGAATCAGATTTATTATTATTTAATTAAATATTTTTGGGATATGTCATCTATCTGACGCTACTTAGTATTAAGTTGGTCTCTCTTTGCTTTAATGTGATTCCTTCACTTAACTTTCTGTCTAAATGCAACATGACTGTGGTTTGTTGTGGTAGTAAAGTTCAATACTTTATAATATTAGTTTAGATTATCTACGTTTTATCTAAAATGGTTGAAGAATATCTCAATTTGAACTTCATAACAAAGCAAGATTGTAATCCATCAAGCCTACATAAATAATGTAAGCTAGACACGGATACAAAAAATAACACGGCCAAAATTCACGGAGCAACACTGTATTCGAAATTCACTTACCTCGGAGGTGACTTCGCAAATGTCAGAGACGAGTCAGGGATGCCACCCGTACTTCTAGTTGGTACAAGATTTTTGGTACATCAGTACGAAGTAGGCATAGGTGTAGCCAGCCATGGACTCAGGGTGGGGAGCAGTCCAAAATGTTATGTAACTAGCAAACTACCCGCGGTCTTACCCCGACTAATTTCTTCGTACAAAATGGTTACATTCTATACCACTCTGTCAATCAGGAAATTCTGCCAAGAAGAGAAAACGCTACTACACATCCTATGTGGTTGTAGCTCACACATGCATAAGCGAAATCTTCTTTGGAAAGTATACACTATACCCTGAGGATATAAAAACCATCGCTTCTACAAATATTCTTAAATTTTTATCTCTGACGGACTTTGAAAAAAAGGGCGAGCACAATAAGATCTATGTAGTAGATAATAGACCAAAACCCTAAATAAAAAAAAAACCACTCTATCGAGTATATAATTATCTTACGAATATTAATATCGTAGTTAGTACTTAGTTAATTTATTTTTTTGAGGTTGGTTGGAGATCTGACTCTGTACTGTAAGGTTATCTACCTTACAGTACAGAGTTAGGTTGAGGCAAGCGTCCCACCCTGCCTCAACGTGGGTACGCCCATGGAAGTAAGATAATAACTCCATATTCGTACAATGTTATACAAGATTTTTGCGTAACGGAAATTTATTAAAAAAGGTATAATATTTGTTCAATTCTGTATTGTATTCTGTATTGCCAAATATTTTGGGAATATATTAAGGACATGTAAATTTTAATTATTTTATGTATGTATATACAACTGATAAATGGCACATCTTGTCTGTTATATGTCAGAAATGACTAACGTGTTAAACTAATATATGTTAATTATGTTAAACCATCACTGCAAAACCACATTTAAACAATAAATTTCATTTCATTTCAAAATTTAGGTTTTTCATGCTTTCACACTTCGCTATAAAAATGTAGAGCCGCATCTATCCTTACATGATTCTTAAATGACATTACATTATTTTGGAAAAGCAAATTGAGCATATATACGATATTTTCAACCGACTTTTAAAAGGAGCAGGTTCTCAATTTTATTTTAAGTATGCTACCTCGGAAATTTCTTATACGTGAACCGATTTTTCTATTATTTGAAAACTGATGTTACTCGTATAATCTCATATAAATTTGATCAAAGTCTGTAATGTAGTTTTTCAGTAATCCTTAATAATTCGATTGAAGTAGGTTTTTTCGAGGCCTAAAAACCTCCTTCGAACTAGAAAAAAGATCTTTGTTGGCAACCCTGTATATAAGTGTAGCTTACATAAATGTATGTCGGCAGCATAGTAGAATATACCTTTATACCTTCAAGTATCATAATCAATATATCACACGCGGAGATCGCATTACAGTATACTCCAAAGAGACGCGAGTAGCTATCTCCTCAAATTACCGTTACCGTTTTTAGACAAGGAAAGTATCATTTTTGGGGTCCCGAATAAAAAAAGGGAAAATGGAACCCTTGTGTTGCCACTTTATCCATTCGCCTGTCATATTACAGAAACTACTGGGGCTATCGATTTGAATCCATAACAATATAATGTAAAAGTATAACGCCATCTAGTCCTAAGCTAAGCCGAGCTTGTGTTATAAGTACTAGACAACTGATACAAATACATTTCTTTTTATAAATACATGTATAAATATGTATATTACATAAAAGTCCCAGACCAATACAAACAATCTTTACAACTAACTTTTTCTTTCAATGAAACAATTCTGTATTATATTCGGAAATAAGTTTTTTAAGCCGTAAAATATCTGCTAATATTTTGTGTTCAAAAATAAGTTTTAATACATTAAAACTTTTCAGTATTCTCGAATTGT